CTACTAAAAGACTAGAGCCCGTTCTGAACTAATATCAGTTCATTAGAACGTGCGTCGAAGGCAGCCCTAGTAGGTTCGTTTCAATTTTGGCTAGGTTTTGAGAGGAGCTTGGACGGTGTGAGTGAGGGGGTCCCTTAAACCTACACCTGGGTCCCAAGTCCCAGGAACTGTTGAAGTTCCGCTCCTGCAACGCGATAGACCTAATGGCCACACAGTGAATCAATGGAACACTAACAAGTTTGGTTTCATATCAATAGACGCATCGTTTTCCCTAGTGGCTCACGGCTCTCAAAGGCTTGTATGTAGTAGGTCTGTCAACCGCAGCATCGACTCATACTAAGACGCTTCCTGAACGATGTTTAACAGCGATTTAGGAAAACCATATGTTTGTTCTATGCAGATAATTAAACAATGTATATTTCAATATTTTAGAGTATAACCTTGTACATAGATATAGCTTCACCTGTATCTATATCTGTATATAAATTTGTTCAGTCTTTCTAAAGCGCCCTTCCTGTCGTAATTGTTGAGCGAGTGTCAGTAAATATCTGTCTGTCTTCTTCTGCCAGATGTGTAGGGGCAACACGTAGACCTTCCGACACTTTGCCCGCGGCGTTGTACGCTCCTACACATTTCTCCGCCATGCCACAGGATATGAGAACTCGTTCCGCTGTATCCCATTCCTGTAAATGTTTGCAAAAATAGATAAATAATTAATGAATATTAATTGACATAAGAAACCTACTAGAATAAAATAAAAATCGACCATAACTTTGAATTCTAAAAATTTTAGTAATTGATCGTGACGTTAAACCCGTGTGTAAAAGAAGAAATGAATAATTGAAAACATATTAGTTTACACTCTTAGTGGATGTTTACATTTATATTTTTGTAACTATACACAATAACTAATAAGGAATGAACAAAATCGAATTACGTTAATAACAATTATAAAAAAAATAATAACAACATATTTCTTTTGTTCATTATTTAAAATAACTTACTTGAGAAGATATAAAATGATCCCCCAACTGTTCACATTGCTCCCGAATAGATTCTTTATCTTCTATAACCTAAAGATATCAATAGATTCATTTACAAAAAATATATATATAAAAAACAAAACCTAAAGCAATATCTTATATCTTTAAATGAGCAATTCTTGTATATATATTTATATATTATGACGATCATGATATTTAGTATATAGGGGGTTTCGGGGGCGATAAATCGATCTAGCTAAGAATCATTATCATCATTAATCATTTAGAAAATGTTATTTTACGTAAAAAAGAATAACAAAAATTTGTCGTTTAAAATTTAGACTCTCGTTTTTACTCTTTCGTTTTTCGTTTAGACTCTTCCTGACATCTAGTGGCGAATAGTGATACTACTTTATGCTACTTGCTTTTACTAATTACTTTAACGACACAACAGCAGATGGCGTTGTTAAGTATCAGGAAATCAATGAATGTTTGTTTAAAGGTTAGACTAAAAAATTAATTGTTGATTTATATTGTTTTCTAAAATAAGGGTAATTCCTAAATACCCAGCAAAGCTCGGTAACCAAATGTTATTAATAATACCTGTACAATTTGAAGAGCTTTTCTATAATGATGTGCCTTCAGAGCCGCAGTGAGAGCATCAACGGTTCGAGCAGCCTCTATGAGATGAGGTCCAGCGGCGCCCGCCTGTCACGATGATACAAGCTACGCGCCCCACTCTCCTTCAGGGCTGGCCTGAAGAACAACAAATAATATAATAAAAATTAAAAACAACATTTATAATAAACAACACTGACTTCTCTTGCGTAGTTGTTGCTTCTAGAATAGTAATCAACCGTAGTTCTTATATCACCTTTACGCTCGGATATTTCACCAGCCATTTCCCACCATTCCTCCTACAAAGGAAACAAATTGTAAAGTTCATAATCTATGTCTGTAATTAGTGAAACTTAACTTTTTAAAATGTATAGAAGTATGCAGAAGTCACTGTATAAGAATAAATAATTATGTTTGTGACAGTTTTATTCATAAAATTAACTTGTATTCTTTTTTAGTTAAATGCATAACAGTCATGTTTATCTTGCATCAATCGAACTTACATGAAACATCAACCACAGTATGATCAATAATCAATGATACTAAATCAAAAAAATCTAGTTGGTAATTTACACCAGTATTGATTCCTGCAACAAAAGAAGCAGGATCTTCTAACAAATACAACATGACTATACTTAGTGAGACCATCAAGCGATATTCTCATAAATAGGTAGATACTTCAGTAGCATTTTTATTTAGCCATCTGATAAAGGAGCCATTTAGTGCAAGTACATTATTTTTTGTGTATCTGATAATGCAACCTTCACCTGTACTAGTTGATCGTGTGGGGTGATGTAACAGAGCGTCACCCACACACGAACCACGCCTCGCCGAGACGACCTGTACCAACAAAATAATACTTTATTAGGTCAAATAGATTATTAGTGTTATTGTAACGAACACAATGTATATATTATTAAATATATATGATATAAGTTATCATTTTTGCACCTGTTGACGTGAGATAGTCCATGTATTGCTGCCTGAGTGATGTCACCGCTTGTCTATCGACTCTTCCAGCGAGGCCGATGGCATCTGCCCATCTATTGAACTGCTTGTACATATTAATGGCCAATTCTGGCTGAGCGGCTCCACGTACGTAGTATTCTTCGGCGGTGGTTAAGTCCCCCACAAATATTGCTAGACGTGCACGAACCTCGGGACTCTTTAATCCTATGCATTATATTATAATCACGATTAATAAAATAAATAAATTTTACTTTCTAGTTGTTTGTTCTTCATGCACTGTATTTAAACTAAAATGTATTTAAACCAAAATGTTAACTTTGTGATTACATGCACTCTGTTAATATTTCAGCATGAAGTGGTTGCCTGTAACTGAGGTAGCACATAACATCTTAATTGTATTAATTTAAAAATTTGTATTTGTGTATACTTTGTTGGCGATCAAATAAATAAATAAATGAATACTATTAATACAATAAGTGCGTCCAAAAAAAACTAGATACATGAGGTGTACCCAAATCGTGTAAATGCAAAAAATACCTTCATCATTACTCCCGTTCCCTTTGGCTGAAGCTAACTCGACAGTTTTATAGATAAAATATTCTAGCCTCATCACCTACTGCTTTATAGCATTTCGTCGCCAACTTAAAAAAAGATATATCTCTTATGAGGTACTAAAACGTTTAAATGTTATAACATATATTTAATAATAATTGATTATTAAATATATGTTATCTCTAATTTGAGCAGTGAGGAATATACCACCACAACTGAATGGCCTAACACTTAACCAAACATAACTGTTGTTATGTAATTAAATGATGTATGTAAACATAACTGTTGTTATGTCAATGTAAAGGAAGTTATCATAAGTTTGAAGTCGAATAATATTTTTTATTTTATTACGTTTAAATTGAAATGCACATTATTTATTTTCAAACCATAATTTTAAGAGATCTTTAAACTGCTTTAATTTTTACATAACTAGTTAAAGCGCTTTATGTAGGAAATAATAACATTGGGGTGTTCGACGTAATATTGACAAAGTTGTCATCATAGATAATACACTATATTAGAAATTGGTTGTCATGAGATCATAATGTCATACTACTTTGCATTCAATATTTTCATTCTCTATGTTCATACTTTTTAAGTAGTGGATAAATTCTGTGAGTGGACGGATGGATTGAGAACAAAACCCAGTAAATGTCATTGTCTGTGTCTTGGTAGGCGGAATACAAGATACACCTCATACGATCCGGGACTATCGTTAGGCGGTCAATGAATTTCTACGGTTACGGAAAATGCACCATTTAAATTTCTCGGTCGTAAGATTGATAATATAGGCCGTACTCCATCTTTAGAAAGGATAGTAGATAGCTTTTTGAACGATCTTAACAAGGTAGATAGCCAACTGATCAGTAACGTTAAAAAAGCGTGGATCTACGATAATTACTTAACTTCACGTTTGAACTGGCCTTTCCTCGTCTATGATTTTAATAAAACCCTTTTGTCAAAGTTGGATGCAGGCGTCATAAAGATGTTGAAGTTGTGGCTCGGGCTCGCGCTAACGGCTGATTCATCGGCGTTATTTAGGGGAAGCAATAGTTTTGGGATGAGTCTAAAAAGGCCATCGCAGCTCTATAAACACTTAAGAGTTTCCAAGAGATATATCCTGGGGAAATCCCATGATGACGTAGTGACATCGCTCCCAAAAGATGAAGATGCCCCCGAGCTAGAGTCACGACTACAATTCCATAAGCAATTTATGATAGGAGCACAAAGTAACAGAGTGGGATTAGGATCAAATAGGAAAGTCCAAGATGCGGATATATTGAAGTCTTTTATTCGGCAAGACGAGAATGATAAATAAAAGATCCATGCAATGAATTTAGAAATGCAGAACGAGTGGTTAGACATAGGAGATTTTTGCATCCCATTAGCATGAAAATGGCGCACTTTAATTTATGATTGGTCGCCAGCATTGCTAAAATTCTATCTCAATGCGTTCCAGATGACTCTCCCAGATCAGAGTAATTTAGTAAGAGGGGGTAAAAGTACCGAAAAAACTTGCTATATCTGTGGAAAGGCAGTTGGAACTGCTAAGCATCTGCTGGTGGGATGTAGGGTACTCCTGGACAGCGGTCAATACTCGCGTCGTCACGATAGGGTTCTAGAAGTGAAACGGTTAGTCTTTCGGTAGCCAGAGCGCAAAAGGAAATAACCACAAACGAACGATCAGTAGGTTTTGTGAGAGAAGGCAATAGGGCTACAAAATCAAACGTCAAGCCTTACTCCATCCTTTAAGCGGCGTCGGATTGGACTATAATGATGGACACGTATGAAAAACAATATAAAATCCCCGAGGATATTTGTGCGTCGGCCTCCAGACCGGATATATTTTTGTTTTCGTGAATTTTAAAACGCGTAGTGATGATAGAGCTTACGGTCCCTTGGGAAACCAACATCCCCAAAGACCATACCATCAAGGTCAACAAATATTACGAGCTCACAAACGAACTCACTCGAAATAGGTTCGTAGTAGATTTGTACGCGGTAGAGGTGGGAGCGAGAGGTATAACAGCGAAATCTCTCTACAACCTACTAAAGGACCTGGGCTTGTCCAGAACTCACATTAATGCATTCTTGGAAGGTATATCGAAGGAAGCCCTAGTAGGTTCTTATCAAATTTGGTTAGGTAGGGAGAGGAGCTTGGACAGTGGAGGTGAGCGTATAACGCGCGTTAGTTAAGGGGCCCCTTAAACCTACACTTGGGTCGCAAGTCCCAGGCACTGTTGAAGCTCCTCCCCCTGCAACGCGATGGACCCGGCACCCGCACGGTGAATCCATAGAATGATGAGTAGTTTCGTCTCTGTTTTTTGCCCGCGACTTCGTCCGCGTTAATTTCGTCATTAATAATATATAGCTGACCGGGCGAACTCTATCCCGTCCTAAATAACCAGTTATTGGTATTTATTAAATTTTTCCTGTTTCAAGCAAACAGAATGGTTGAAATAGAAAAGGGCTGATTTTAGAGTTTTCCCGGAAATGAATCATTTTTTTTCAGCTTTTAGAACTTATCTGAGCCTCCACGAACATTTCAAGAATAAGATAAGATAAATCCGTTCAGCCATTCTCGAGTTTTAGTGAGACTAACGAACAGCAATTCATTTTTGTATATACAGGGTGACTGGTGAATTACTATCGATACTTGAGGACGTGATATTTGACGATCATATATGACAAAATAAAAATTAATATAACATAAATATTCATAAACTTCTAAGTAAAGTGAACCAAAAGTTATGTAATTAATTACGCATCGTGTGAACACCCTACAGATTAGGTATACACACACACACACTCGCGCGCGGCGGTGTGGTGTTGTGTCAGCACGCCGCCGCACGCGTCGACACTTGGAACATTTGGAACGTGTCCACAATTTATTTATTTATACGGAAATTTGGTCAAAAATTAAGTACCTATTTTTTTTTACATAATTCGAATGAGAATCGTGTACCGAGTATTCTCCTTAAATATTGATAGTAAAACACCAGTCACCCTGTACAAATGTAAATATTTTTTTTAATAATTGATTTACTTATGTACTATCTTTCATTTATTTATGTAATCATTATGACGTGTCGGAAGCGTTCAGTTAATGTAATAAAAATAAAAGTATTGAATAAATAAACTCAAAAAATATTCACCCATTAGTTAAATAATAACAGAATAATATTAAATATTCTACAGTACATACCGTCACACTACTATCGTACATCAGCTACATACACTTCTCTTCATAGAAGGTTTCCTCTCGTCCGCAGACCACGTCCTAACAGACGCTCCACCAACAGCTTCGATCCTCATCTTGAATTATATATTCTCACGAGTCCTGGAACGTTACAAATAATACTATTTCATATAAAGACTATCCACTTCCTAATAAATTATTATTGTTCATATAAAAGATAGCACATATTTTAGGATGTGGTCAAAGATTAGCAACAAAAAAGTTAAAATAAAAATAGTAATGAATTAAACCAAACTATCAAAATAATAAGCCTTCGCAAAATATAGCGTTTAGAAAATAATAATTTTCTTAAGATTGCGGTCCTCTACAAAGATTTGTTTGGATATCATTAACTTTACTTTTCTTTATATTTTGAAACTAACATATATTTCATGATCGATGGACAGACCATGTAGTGAAAACATACGACGGTAGTGAAACTATGAGTACTTTGATTGAGGAAGATTTTTCTGTAGGAGAGCTCTAAATTGTTTTAAATAAATTAAAATTAATTATCTTTCTATATATGTATAAAGACATACAGAGACAGTTACATCAAGCATTGTTTGAAAATAAAAATATAATATTTTATATTAATCTTAAAATATCCACAAATAAATTACACTTCATATCACTAAGAAGGTTTATTATTCAAATAAAACAATTCTTTATATATCAGTCTAGTTAGTATCATCATTAATAACATACTATATTATGTACAGAATTATTATTCTGTTTGAAATATTGGATTCCTACAAAAATTATAAATGTTTATACTTAAACTAAACACATAAATTGATTTTACTTAAAAAGTATAAGACTATTAAAACACTTTTATAATAATCGATTATTCTAGAAAGACGCCACGTGAATTTCATCATATATTATATCAGCAGCACATGTGGAATTATAAAATGAATGTATCGATAACGTTTTACTCAATATAAGAGATACATTATGGAGAAATTAACAGCACATACCGTCACATTACTATCGTACATCAGCTACATACACTTCTCTTCATAGAAGGTTTCCTCTCGTCCGCAGACCACGTCCTAACAGACGCTCCACCAACAGCTTCGACCCTCAACTAGAATTATATATTCTTACGAGTCCTGGAATGTTACGAATGATTCTAGTTTATATAATGACAATAGATTTATGACTTAAATATTCGACTAACAAGAAGTCGCATTTTAAAGGGTGAAAAACATAATAATAAAGAAGGCCATTCAAACGACATAACGTTGAAAAACCCTGCGCTCGATGTTACGCTTAGAGAATAATTCAAAATATACTATTAAAATAAACTATTGCTACTATCACTACACATAATAAACACTAATATTAACCAAAACTAAAAATGTTACTTCATAAACATTTGAATTTGAACGTTATGTCAATAACATAAAAAGTAACATTTATTAGTACCTATGTGCAAAAAAAAAACACTCACCATGAAGATAACCGACGTAAAACACATCCATCATAAGGAAGGCCGCGGCCGACTGCCACCAGAGGCACCAGAGGGAGCCGGAAGGAAAGGAGAGACATAAGAAATGAATTATGAAAGCAATTAATAGTATAATCATAAAATGTAAATTAATAAAATTTAAAAACTAACAATAATCGAGCCGTCAGGTTGGCCACGCTAAGAATCATGGGGAATGGGGATGAACCCAGTGTTGCCAACTTTATTTTTTAGAGGATCGTACTATAGACTAAAAAAATAGTATTTTGTCTTGAAATTCAAGAAAATAATCGTAAGCGATGAAATTTCAATAAAGCTACGTAAGTATATCAAATAAAAATTGATTTTAATTATTTTTCAATAAACATTATTCATCAATTAATATGTGGAATTAAGTTATTCATTAATGACATATGTTTTGAAAACAGAAAAAAAATAAAATTTTTGCTTCAGCCACTATCTGAATTATTAGGCACAGCAGATGAGGGAAAAGCATTATATTTTTTTTTACATACATACATACTTAAATTTAATTTGCTCAACATATCGTCACATGGCTTGAAGTTTATACACGACCCTTTTTCTTTAATATGTTGTGCAGCTAACAAATTCTAATTTACCATTTCTGGAATACAGTTTAGTTTTACATATTCTTTATAGTCATATTATATTACTAAATAAAGTTAATTATAGTTATAGTACTAAAGTTTAGTTTTACACATTTCTAATAGTTTTATTGGAGATTTATTTTTTCGTACGACTCCATTTCAAATATCGTATATTTTTCGTACGATTTCGATCGTACATCGTACAAGAGTCAAAAAGGTCGTATAAATATGATTTAAATCGTACGGTTGGCAACACTGGATGAAACTGTCATATAATTACCATGAAAGTAAATAATGTATAGAAAATGCTGCCATCTAACGAACAAGATAAAAAAACTTTGACACTATTTTCCTTTATAACTTTATATCTATGAGATATCTTAAGCAGCTCTCAAATTGATTTGAGTTTTGACATTAGGACATATTTTAAATTATTTCAGTTGTTCATTTGCCGTTGTTTACTGTTCTTCTTGGGCTGTACGTTCTTTTTCAAACATTTGACCCGGTTTAATATATCATTGACTCCTATTTCTACGCTTTTGACGATCGACCCAGGCTTTTCTCAATTGGACTTTTTCTGCGACTACGATCGACCCCGGCTCTTCTCATTTGGATTTTAATTGCAAACTACGACTTTGGATTATCGATAAGTTGAAAAAATGCCACGAAAATCGGCTATTAAGTGTTATTTTCGGTGTGCGACTAAAGGTACGATACTTATTTAGTAAAATCTATAAAATTATTATTTGTCATATATACAATCAATTACTACTCTTGTTACATCAATTTCAATCGTAACAGTTTATTGACTTCTAATAAAAAACATTTCAGGTCCTTTTCATCCATTTCCTAAACCTGAATACCCAAATTTGGAGAAATTCATTCAATGGAAAAACATTTTAAATGAAGACAGGAAACAAAAGGAAGATTCTTACATTTATAAATAAGAATATGTGATCGTCATTTTGAACAGTTTTACCGTTCTTTAAGTAAACGACTCACTCAAAATGTTGTACCAACTCTATACTTAAGTAAGTATCTAAAGTAAGCAACTTCCCAAGTAGTTAAAGACACAATACCTACTACTAATATAAAATAACTATAAATAATCAATTATATGTTATAACTATAGATAATATTTTACATTATTATTATTTTACTTTAGAAATTGGTGCTCATAATTAAAAATTAAAAAACAAAAAAAATTGATTTAATTGAATATAATGAAATAGGTATACAAGTCATCTTAACATTTTTATATACTTACATGTGGTTTGATAGATTTATAATGTTCAGTCTTTATTACCTTTTTTATCTAAATGAAGAAAAGTGCCTACAAACAGTATTCCAAAATAACTACTTGTGTCACTTCTTTACATATGTCAAACAAAAACAAAGTGTTCTAAATATGCAGAGATTATAATTTCACTGGATAACCACAAAACAAAAAAAGTTGTTTATAGTTTTTAATGTAATATAAGAATGGCAGTGTTTAATTCAGTAAAAATTACAAGTCTATTTACATTCAATCAGAAACTCTAAAAGAAACAAGGAAGGAAAATACAATCAAGACAATATATTATCATTCAATTTTAAGATTTTTCATTTAATTTTTCTTTTAATATATTTAGTTGTATTAAAAAAAATATTTTATTTAGCAGCATCAACATTAGAGACTGTACACTTATCACATTCTGTTGAAACTGAAAAATATGTTGATATACAAAAAGAAAACAATGATGCATCTTGTAATCACCACTTGGATTTAAATATGAATCAAGTTCAGCTACAAAGGAGTTCTGCTAATTCCTCTCATTTATTTCCTAAAGGTAAGCTACGGGCATATAACTAAGCTTAAAATTAACTATGATTGCTATAT